GGAAACCCGCCACAGCGCCTGGGAGTGGGAGGGGAAACCCAGCAGGAGCAGCTCGGAGTGGGAGCGAAGCCTGCCTCAGCTGGTTTCGCTCCCCTCTCTGCTTGGCTCCAGCCACTGGAAGCCCTATTCTTGCAGGAATCTTCCTGCAACGGGCCTCTAGTCTTTATATATTTGTGGTAATACATCTGCAGTACATAACCCATGAAATGGAATTGCTGTGTCATAGGATATTTATAGTTTACATTTTGATGGATTTTGCCATATTGTTCTTGAAACAGGTCTTGTAAATGGACCCTATCCTTTTAGTGAGTGATTAGAAACAGCTGTCCATGCAATCTAGTTTGTGTGTGTGTGTGTGATTTTTTAGTAGTTTTTTAATTTTTTTTCTTCATTAAGGTATTACATATGTGTCCTTATCCTCCAATTTCCCCCTTACCCTCCCCCCCCCCACTCATGCCCTCACCCCCCTGGTATCTGTGTCCATTGGTTAGGCTTATATGCATGCATACAAGTCCTTTGGTTGATTTCTCCCCTTACCCCCACCCTCCCCTACCTTCCCTCTGAGATTTCACAGTCTGATCGATGCTTCTCTGTCTCTGGATCTGTTTTTGTTCATCGCTTTATGTTGTTCATTGTATTCCATAAATGAGTTATCTAGTTTTTATCCAAGGAAAGCTTAATCTGGAAGAAAAAAGAATTGGTATACTGCACCTTTAGAATAATGGTAGCTCACTGATTGATAGCATTAGTGAAGAAAGAAATCCACATTTCATTGTGCCTTACTACTTTCTATATCAACATTAGTGTACATTAGAACTATTAATATTGAAGTTCCTATCAAAATTATTCATCTCCTGGTGTGAAACCTGTCAGAGTTAGAAATTCTGATAAAAGAGATACTCTAAACACTAGGAGCCAAATTTCCTTTCATCTACATAGAAGTTTATTGGCTTTGTTTTAAAAATGTCTTAAGAATCTTACCTGAGTTTGACAGTGTTTGAGAACTTGTTTTTAATTTTCCCAAAAAGTGAAATCAGTTAGAGAGTGGAAATCATACACATTGCTACATCTCTTTAATTTCAATTTCTCATTCTAGTTAAACAACAGCTTCCATTTTATTGGAATTAGTTTTTCTGGAATTAATATTTAGTTTTGTTTGCACAAAATAGAGTGAATGAAAAAAATGTTTTTGCCAAAACAACCATCAACTTTGCCTGAAAAAAAAAAAATTGAGATGGAAAATATTTTTCTTGAGGCCCTTAGGTTTTGTCTAAGTGTCTTGTTTGTCCTATTTACTCCCCTAACCCTAGTACCGAACTGTGCCTGCCACATAGTAGATGTTCAGTATTTGCTAAATAAATGTAATAGGCTCATGGTAAGTATTTAGTTAGGAGGATATAACTTTATTAAATTTTAAATATACCCTTATATTTTCTCTCTGACCAAATTAAATGAATAACATGAGTGTGTTGACATGTGGAGGATTGTTTATCTTTCTTTATCTTTTAGTAAATATTTGAGTACATCTTTATTCTGTAATGAAATGTGTGGATTAGTTTCAAACAATGTCTGCCTTCCAGATAGTTTCTAATCCAGTTACAGACATAATTTTTTGAAAATTTCTCATTAAGTTACTTTGTCATTAAAATAACTGAAAAGAAATTGTTTTTGATGTAAAGGACTGTATACTTTTTGACAAATTTTGTGTTCTTAATCTCTTTGCAGATTTTACAGATTTTACAGTCCCAGCCAGATGCAGCACATCAAATTTCTCAACAAGTGGGTTGGCAAGACACTTTAGTTAGGCTTTTTGTTAAAGCAAATTTTGAAAATGGAAATACTTTTCATAAGCACAATAGGGCTGTTTCAATGAAAGACAATGATAAAAATATATCAGCTGAAGATATCAAGAGGAACTTTGATGAAAAGACAGACGATGAAAAAATCAACTCTTTTGCCTCAGCTAATGTGTCTTCTGATCAATGGAGTTTGGACGATAGACACTCTCTAGATTCAAACACACCATTATTTCAAGAAGATAGCTCTGTGGGAGAATTGTCTTTCAAATCAGAGAATCAGGAAGAATTCTGGCACAGTAACCCTTCACATTTGAGTTTAGATCTTAGTGGAATTGACTCGTGTGAACTGAGTGATAGTGGCAGTCAAATGCCAGATAGCTTGCCTAGCACGCCATCCCCAATAGAGTCTACTAAATCATTTTCTGTGCAATCTGACAAAGAAAGCAGCATCACAAATGATACGGGCTTTTGTGATGACTTCTCTTTACTTGAAAACCAAGAGGTAAAATACCTTATTTGTCCAAATGCTGTTTTTATTTTTATATGTCTATTATATACTTCCTTAGAAATGTATATTTGTTAACAGTTCCATTTTATGTTCAGGTTCTAAGTTTCATGACTCAAATATTAGAAGCCTGTAAGTCATTAAATTGTCTTGAGAACAAAGCCAGTGTCTTACTTATCCTTGTATCTTTCTAGGACCTACTAGTAAAGTTCCAGGTTCATCCAGGCACTTTAATAATATGTTAAAGGATTACAGTCAGTATATATGATGGTTCTTCTGTACTTTTAACACCCACTCCCTTTAATAATCTAATATTACTTTATATTTTTTATAGAGATGTGAGGAAGAGCTTCTTCAATTACTGACAAATATTTTGATCTATGTAATGTGTAAAGGACTAGAAAAGTCTGATGATGATACTTGGATTGAACGGGGACAAGTGTTTTCGGCACTAACTAAATCAGTAATATCCAGTGAGCTACTTCGACCATCAGATGAAATAAAACTAATGTAAGCATTCCATTGGTGACTTCCCCTCTCGTCTTGGAGTGGACCAGAGTTTAAAATATTTTATTGAACATTTATCCAGTATTCAGTGGATGTAGAAAAAAGGAGAACCTTTGTTTTCAGTCCCTTTTTTGGCTGTTGCCCTTCTATTGGGATCTAGAGAGAAATCAAAACTAGCTCCAGTGTGAAGAGATTTAAATCTTAAATTAATTTGGGTTTTAAGTCATTATATATTTCCTGTTGTTTAAATTGTTTTCTGCAGTACAAAGCACTTGGTGCTTGTGTTCTACGGTCTTGTCCATGCTTGAGTGTTTCCATGCTAAGGAAAGACAGTAGTGTTTTCATGAAAATTACTTCTCTAAAGCATTGAGTTCCCTATATATAATAGATAGAACACTAGCAGTACACTAGAAGAGAGTTACTTCTTTCTTTTTCCACAGAGCTTGACCCACTATAAGTCATAATGAGGCTTCCTTTTCTCACCTAACAATTTCAGCTTTACAGAAACTTTTAAATATTTCATGGAGACTTGAATGTGAATTATTTTCATAGCTTTTTACAAAATATATATTTAATTGATTTTTTTAGAGAGGAAGGGAGAGGGATAGAGAGTTAGAAACATCGATGAGAGAGGAACATCCATCAGCTGCCTCCTGCGCCCACAACCAAGGTACATGCCCTTGACCGTATTCGAACCTGGGACCCTTGAGTTCGCAGGCTGATGCTTTATCCACTGAGCCAAACCAGTCAGGCTTCATAGCTTTTTAATAGTCAACAGGTAACTTTTACTTTGCCATTTAGTATTAGGTATGTTAAAAATAGATTCTCCATCCCTGGCTGGTGTAGCTCAGTTGGTTAGAGCGTCGACCTGTGTACCAAAGGGTCGTGGTTTTGATTCCCAGTCAGGGCACTTGCCCAAGTTGTGGGTTTGATCCCCAGTTGGGGTGCGTGCAGGAGGCTTCTGATCGATGTTTTTCTCCTCCTCCCTCCCTCCCTCCCTCTCTCTCTAAAATCATTTTTTTAAAAAGATACTCCAGAGATTAAAAAGTTGCTTTATTATTATTAAATTCTATCCAAGTGTTCTGTGATACCTGCCAGTGGTAGTGTATCTTTGGAGGTACAGTCTTAGTAAATAATAACTGTTTTTTAAAATATCCTACTATTTTTCTAAGTTTAAAATGGTTTTAAGAGGGCTGTTTTACACTTAGTTTGCTGCAGAAGATGTTAGAATGGGCAGTCACAGAAAACAGAGAAGCAAAAACTAATCCAGTTACTGCTGAAAACGCCTTCCGACTCATGCTGATCATACAGGACTTTCTGCAGTCAGAGGGATTAGTTAATTCAAACACGTGGACTGAGAAGGTATAGTAATATTTCTTTAGTAATGAAAGACTCTTTTTTAAGGACTTTATTTAAACAAATTTTGTATCCCCTCTTTACAGAGTATTAATATTTAGTCATGCAATAAACATGGATAATATGTGATAGTCACAGATTTTGTTAGCTTGTTACTAGGATAAGTCTTTTGGCTTTTATTAACTGTACATTGAAGTAGTTTTGAAATATTTATAATTTGGTTAGTGTTGGGGAAAGCTCATCATCAGTAGATTAAAGAACTGAATGTTTTTCTTTTTCAATTCTTCCTTTGCAATAGCTTTTAGAGGATGTGATGCTGCTCTTCGACTGTCTGTCAGTGTGGTATTCTGAAAGTCCATTATGGGTAAAACTCTCTCAAATCCAAATCCAGTTGCTTCTAGGATTTATTGGAAAGGGTAATTTGCAGGTTTGTCAATTCTTTTACACATTTTCTATATTTGCAAGTAGTTTAGGAATTATTTGTGTGATAACTAGATGATATGTTTCCAGTATTTTAATTTTTTAAATTAGTTCTAAAATATTTATGATTTAATTCTTGTTTCAGTTTTGTGAGCCAGCTAATTATTTTTTCCTGATTTTTATGACTCCGTATATTTTTTAAATTTCCCTTTAAAGTATATATATATAGCTTATATTAGAAGGCATTGCTCATATCTATATTTAATGAAGCTGCTTGCATAGACTATTTATATATGTGCAGTTTAGGCAAATTATTTACTTTTAAAATATATTTTTTATTGATTTCAGAGAGGAAGGGAGAGGGAGAGAGAGTTAGAAACAGACTGAACTTACAACCTGGACATGTGCCCTGACCAGGAATCAATCCATGACTTTCTGGTTCATAAGTTGATGCTCAACCACTGAGCCACACCGAATGGGCTAGGCAAATTATTTTTTTAAAA